GTTTTGACACTTTCCTAAAAACCTCTCGTATAGACGCGGATGAAAGAAGAGGAGGAAGATCGCTCCTCCTCCTCAGCGCCATCTATCGTCATTTCTAAACAAATTGAGGTGAAGAAAATGGAGATGATGCGTTTATGTTGATGGGTATTTTGAAGTGTCTCTGTTTTTTATTTATTTAATGAACACTTGAAATTTTATGTTAGCTTTCAATAATGTAGGCTATTTCGCAAGCCGAGAGATAAATTTATTTTATGTGATTTTTGGGTTTATAAAAGAAAGTTGTTCTATGCAAATTATTACAAAGCACTGTACTCAATTGCATTATTTTAACAATTTATGTCCGCTATATTTTTTATTTTTACGCAGCTTAATAAAGCATGATATTGAAAATCTATAATTCTCATTTTAATTATAGTTTAAGTTTTTCAGACCTTATTTAAAAATACATCTCCATAGCAAACATAATTTATGATTACCTTAACTACTTGGAAATTTTCTTTTCTTTGTATGATTATTTAGTTTGAAGCACTGTCTCTTAGGAATTTTACTGTCCTTAAAATCACGAAATAACATTATTTTGACTCTATTTTTTTTCCTTTTATGATCGACATAATGAATCTTCAAATATTTCTATGTTAGATTATAATCATACAAAACTATCCAATTAAAAACAATTGCTCAAAAGATTATGCCAGTTGTGACAAAGAATGTTTCTTCAGATAAGTTCAATGCGAAAAACTGTTTCTAGTGATGAGTTTAGTGCCAAAAACGTTCTGATGATGAGTTTTAATGACAAAAACTGTTTCTGGTCATTAGTTTAGTGACTAAAACTGTTTCTGGTTATTAGTTTAGTAACAAAAACGGTTTTTGATGATAACTTAAGTGACTAAAATGGTTTCTACTCTTTTGAATCCAATTATCATTTGAATTAAAAATCTGCATCTGAATCGATTTACAGGTGGTTATCGTAAATCGTAATGGATTTGAAAACTCCTGATTTTTAGAAAAAAAATATCATTGGTTGAATAAGAGAAATTCTTTGGTATGGAAGTTTGGTCCTTAAAGTCGACGGTAATCTCCTTCAAATTGGTTTTATTTTTTTTAAATTATGAATCTAAGTTAGAATTAACACTAAATATTACAATTCATTATGATGAACAAAAATGAATTAACTGATGTGAGGGACTTAACCAGACATTTAATAAAGCAACAATTAATAAGACTTGAAATAACGGGCATTATTAATTTTTATTCACATAATTTAGGAAATGCAGTTGTAGAATCTTTTTCTTCTCATAATATTATGTAAATTTAGAATTTGATAGTTTTTTTTTTAAATTAATTTACACTGCACTTCACAATTTATTTTTAATTTTTGCTTTCCAATTTGTTCCTCATAAAATATTGAATCGATTTTCAAAAACTTTTTTCTATTTTCGTTTTTGAACTACTTGTTGTGTGGCACACATTTTATTTCGAAGGCTTTTAAAGTTTAGAAAATTTTTATTCTGAAATTAAAACGTAAATTTTAAGATTTTTTTTCTGTTTCTGAAAAAAAGTTAAACGTGAAGAAAAACAGAAATAAAAAAAAATAACTTGACTCGGGAAGGGATAATTGTGTTAAGTTTTTTTCTCTTGTAGAGTCGTTGATTTTTATCTATTTTTCTACGAAAGTTTAAAAAAAAATAGATTCTTTATTTTCTGTGTACATAAAAGTTAGCCCTGTTTATATGAGCTGGTATAAAACAGCTGTTCTCAATTTTTTATGGCTATAGAACCCTAAATGATTAGACTTGTTTTGACGGAACCTCAAATATATAAATAAAATTTATTAACGGCCATGAATATATTTACCAAAGATAGACTACTAATTATTTTGATAATATTAATGTACGGAATGAATTTTTTTCAGTAATCGTTTTAACAATTAAACTCTGACAATAATAGATTTTATGTCAAACAGTTTAATTCGCATTCATGGATTGGTATCTAGTTCAGCTGAAAATGAATAAAAATAAGCTTAATTATAGTTTTTGAAAAACAACTCTTTTCAACGTTGAGAATAGTTATCAGAGAGACATAATTCATTATTCCTGAACTTATTCATTTTATTTTGAATAAAACAGTTCGACAAAAAATACTGATGTTATTTTTTATAAATTGTGCCATTTCTTTTTTTACTTGCATTTCACTTTAATAATATCATTAAACTAACCAAACTATCCAAGAAATTATGTTTTTTTTTATCTATGTAAATTTAATTACAAGTTTCAAATATCGTTACTAGTTCAAAAAATTTAAACTCCCACAACTTCCGTGACCCTTCCACGGAACCCTAGGGTTCCACGGATCATCATTTGAAAACCGCTGATATAGAACATCTGATTCTCTTTAATGATTTGTTGCATTTCTTACTCATCTTAAGTGTAATGTTCCAAGTTATAACAATAAATTGAATACTAGGCAGTTTTCCACTGTTTATTTTTGAGTCAGAGTTAGAACTCAACAAAAAAAAAAATACTTGGCAGGAACAAGTTTGACGATTACTCTGTGAAAACATCATAAATAAAAACACTTTTAAAAAATGTAAGAAGATAGTTGTTAGAAGGTAAAACTTTGCACTTAGACTGAAATAGCTGTTGGAACTGCTTGTTCTCGTGCGAGCTGAGTCGCGAGATGCCTGTTATCAAATCACTCAATTAGTCACAGTTAAATTTTTTTTTTTGGAAGTGGGTTCATTTTTTTCTTACACCTGGCAATTATCCATTCCTATTATCAACAGCTTCTGTTATTTTAAATAACAGCAATTATATTTCTTCGTTTCATCTTTGCGATGCAATTATAATTGTTTTATGCGTGAAAAGAAAAATACATTTTGGCAATGTTATTTTGTTCGAAATTATGTTTAGTTGTTGTTGTTAATGTACTATAAAGAAAATCTAAGTGCAATTATGGAAACTAATTTCAGCTTACTAAAATTATATTAGTTTTTGAAAAACCTCGTTTTTCAAGTGCATTAAAAAGGAACAGTATTTTAATTTTTGTCACGCCTTCGTGTCTATAGTTTTGCGTTTGTTAGTTAATGTCAGAAAGTGGTTGAAATTTCGATTTTGAGATCATTTGGTGGGGGGGGGATTTTACCTTTATTGTACTTAAATACCGGCAACCTACACTTCTTTAATTTGCTGTTTACTCTTTTTAAAAGTAAACTAGTTCATGCATTTACTGTACCAAAAAATGTCAGGGTCTTTTCTTTAGCCCAATGCAAGACTTTCAATCTGTAATTAACATAATACAGCATTAAATAAATTGTAATACAATGTAAATATTTTAAATGAATTTTAAATATTTTTTCATTAGAATTGTTTTTAATACAAAATATGCTTTTTGAAAATATTACAAAAGTGAATGAAATTATAAATACAGTACAAATTTGTTTACCCTGGTAGTAAAACAAATTCTGAACATGAGCCGAAAAATGAAATATAAAACTTAGACAAGCACTTCATTTCCATTTCTACTTTTGATATTAACAAGAATAATGTGTCTTTAAATAAAACAAAAAAAAAAGTTTCTTTAACTTTAAATTTAATAGTAATCAAAAAATGAATTTGTAATGCTGGGATTGGATTTGTATATTAAGTATTTTTAATATTTTGCTCACATCAATTAATCTTTATACATAGTTTTGCTTGAAAGCTATGACATCTGGATATTAAAAAATGTTATATCTATGCTTATTTAGAATTGAACATTTCCATTAAACTTAAAAATAGAAAATTTCTATGAAAAAAATTTATATTTTTTCATTTGGTTCCATTCAAACTAAAACTATCTATATACGAGAAAATTAAAAAAATAAACGTAACTCTTAAGAGGATTATGTTTTTATTTTTGAAGAAAACCAGATTTGTTTTTTTTTTTTTTCAAAAAAAATTATTTGGTTCAAACCGTAGTTTAATTAAACCATTGATTAACACCCCCCCCCGCATAATATTGTATTTTTAGTGATTCTCAATCTATTTTGTCACTTACTATTCCAATTACAACGAAAACTATTGAATTTATTCTTGTCGAATGAAGTTATTCGATCTCGAGCAAGCCAGAAAAGCAAATGCTTTTCAGTTTATCCCGATCCATTGAGAAATTTATGAGCATAAAGAGGCTCATAAATTTGCTAATGCTGACTGTTTTATGGCTCTACCTGGTTCTTTTCTGTCGCTGCATAACATTAAAATAATTATTTTAGATGAAATTAAACGTACCAAAATAATCTTATATGATTCAGCTTTGGATAATAGTTAGAATATCCTGCTCAACAAAAATATTTTAACTCGTTGTTCCTTAACTCGGTCTGTTGAAGTTGTTGTTTGACTACTGGACTGGAAGGACTACTTATAACATTTATTTTTACATCGGATAGGAGTTAGGGATTGAATTTGTTGTAAGGATTGCTGTAGGGATTGATTTGTCTATTGCTTTAAGTTAATTACAGTTATTTCAACATCCTAGAATTTTAAAAAAAAAAACTTATTTGCTTTTGTACGGTAGGCACTGTTAGATATAATACAATTATTTTCAGTAATTTTAAATTTCTATTCATTTTATCATGTCTAATACAATGTTTGTTGAATTGCATGAATCATGTAATTGTTTACATAAATCAGATAGCTCAAGATCAATAATCAGCATTTTCTCCTTACTCAGACGAGAGTAATTTGATTTAGAATCATGACTTTAACTACAAAGCTGACATAAAACTCTTGTAAAAGTCTGATCATGGGGATAATCAGATTTTTACTGATGACCATCTGGCTAACGGGGAAAGGCATACGAACTTTTTTTTAAAAAAATTCATCCTTTTTTTATACCAATGTTTGAGTCTAGAATTTTCAATCATTTGCTTTTTTAACTAATTGCAGGCTTGTTCTTATAAAAGCATAGTTTTGTGTTTAATGTATTCTTATATCGCTAATATTTCCGTTTTCTTCTTCTTTCAGCATGATTCTGACTTAATATTTGATGAACTAAATAGTATAAACATTGATAGTAATTCACACTCCAACGCCATTAGTCCCTTGTCCAGTCCCTTACATACTCATCAGGATCGTTCACGTCTTCATCACAGTCACCACCATAAAAAGAAAAACAAGTCCAAATCCAATAAGACGCACAGTAAGCAATGGGGGTCCTTCTTTGACGACGAGGACTTTTACAGGGACGCCGAAGATGGCCCATCCGGAGAGGAACTCTTCCCACATAGTGGTGAAGGTGCTGCACCAGAAGTACATCCAATTGATAAACCGACAACTACCTCGGGTGAAGGACCGTGTAAGTTTCGTCTCATTTTCTTAAATTAATATTTTTTTGTTACAGATTTACAAAATCCAAATAAGCAAAGCTAGATCACCGAAACTAACAGTGAGGAGTTTTACTTACTTAGGATCAATTATTACCATTGACGACAGAATTACTCTTGAAATAAAAAACCGACTCTATGTGGCGAATAGGGCTGTCTATGGGCTGAGAAGATTTATTATATCTAGGTTTCTTTCTAGAGAAGCAAAGTTCTTAATCTACAAAACTCTTGCCCGGCCAGTCTTGACATACGCTTCTGAAGCTTGAATAATGACAAAACTGGAGGAAAATAGTATCGCAATATTTGAGAGAAAGATTTTGCGGAGTATACTTGGTGGTGTAAATGAAAACAATAACTGGAGAAGGAGATTTAACTTTGAACTGTACAAGATTTATAAACAACCTGATATAATTAAATACATAGAAATAAATAGAATGAATTGGATCACCCATGTGATTCGAATGAGTGATGACAACACAATAAAAAAGATACTGCGTTTTAGATCCACTGGAAAAAGAAAGCGGGGAAGGCAGCGGTTGAGATGGGCTGACTACTCAGTGGAGTCTGATTTTCTCGCAATTAATGAAAATAATTGGAGATCAAAGATAAATCGGAAGTTGTCATGGAGAAATCTTCAGAGGAAGGCACTGACTAACATTGTGCTGTCTGGCCAACTATGATGATGATGAGGTCACCGAAACTGGGTTATACAAAATTTCTCTTTTGAATATTTGTTCTGTTAGAAACCTTTTCAGTTCAATTCAAAGTTGATTACTGAAATACTGATGATATTCTCATGGAAAAATCAGGAAACCATGAAAAAATATGGAAAATTGTGGTCGCATTATTGCGATCCCTGGTTATCATTTGTCGGATGTTATATTTATTTATTTAGTTTTACTGGATAGATTTTTGTAAGCGTAACAACATTTCATCCATGGATTGTTATAGAACTGCATCAGTTGTGTGAATGAAACTGATCACAACGTTGTGTCTAATCACGTTCCCACTAAAAAAAAATCTCAAGAATTTTTCTAAAAAAAATCTTAAGAAAATCTTAAGTTATTTGGCCCACTTATTCTTAAGATTTTCTTAAGAATTTTGTCTGAAGAAAATCTTCACAATATAATCCTAAGATTTTCTAAAGATTTAGGTTTATGTAGGCGAAACAACTTGAGATATTAAGAATATAATCTTAAGAAAATCTTCAGAATTTAAGCTTAAGATTTTCACAAGCACACAATCATTAACGTTACGGTCTTAAGCTTTGGGTTTATTATTACGCTGAATCAATTGAAGGATCAGATTTAATTGGATACCGGCAAGTGACGCCTGATTGGCTAACCCATGCGTGAAGTCGATTCCAAGTGTCCAATTTCTACTTTTGTCAACCAATGGGCTGGTTTTGATTTCAATTCCGACCAATAAATGTTTTTTAAGAAATCACAAAATTATTTTCCTTCTACAGATTACATATTTATTTTAAAATCGACTCCGAGACTTACAATGTTATGAATAAGTTATCATATAAAGGCAGTAGATATTATGAATAAGTTAATGTTGTAAAGGTAGTAAAAATACTTTCAATTAATATAATGTACAGTAATTTAAAATGTACATTAACTCACTCAGTGGCGCGACAGCCCATAGAGGGCCAAGGTCTACTGTGCCCATCTCAGTTTTCTTGACCTTGGGTGCTCTGGGGTGCATTTGTTCCGGTCAGGTGGTCAGCCGAACGCGAAACCCCCAGTGTTTAGTTCCCAAGCATGCTTGGTACTCATTTATCGACCTACTGAAGGGATGAAAGGCTTTGCCCGGCCCGAGGATCGAGCCTAGGACGTGTCGCCACCGGGCGTCTAAAATGTACATTAGTGAAAATAAAAAACTGAGTTTGGAAAGTAATCAACTCCTGAAAGTTCTTAATAATCGTCTTTTTCCCCATCTTGTTGTGCTGCTTTTTTGTTAATGCTTATTTTATATTCTTATTTTATACTGCTTATGATTTTTATCACTCTTAAAACTCTATATTTGTGATTATGGTGCAGGTCGAAAAGTGTACGAACATGAAAAACCTAAAACAACATTCATTTTCCCAATGGGTATTAGATATTTAAAAAACAAATTTTTAGTCGTGGTATGAACAAAAAGATACGGTTTAAATTTTTCCCCCAGAGAATCTGCAATTAAATTTGTGGAACTGAATCTAATTTAATAAAATGAAGAAAAAAATGGAATCCCTAAATTGAATTTAAAGGAAAAATAAGCTGTCACAATCTGTTTATTGTCAAGAAACAAAATTGAACGCAAAGCAATTATGTGGGCTGGTGCATGAAGTGGATAGGAAACAAAAATCCTCCTCACAAGCATTAAATATAAAATCTATTTCACCATAGCTAGTTTCAATAATCAAATTTATTTTATTGATTATTTTACTATGGTTTTGCTTACTTAACTATGACTTCATTCACTTGATATTGATTTAGCTCAATTAACTGGAAAAAATTGCGATAAAGCCTCTCAACTATAAACATAAAACAGATGATAATATAAATTTTTTATTATCTCGAATTTATTTTCTTTTTCTGCCGTGCATTGTTAATAAGCAAATGTTTAAATGACACAATATCGATTTTTTTTTGTTTCTTGCACTTATCGCGAAAGTTTTGTGAACTAATTAAAATTTATTGGAAGAATCATAAAACTCTCTTAAACCTTTTACCTTGAAAGACAGTAAATAAGAACCTATTAATTTCGTCAGAAAAATATATTTAGTACACTTTAAAATTCGAAAGAAAATACTAGATATTCCCCTAGATTAAAACTGAAAAAAAAAAGAAAAGAAAGGGAAGAAAGAAAAATAAAAGGGCTTATGTACTTTCACCTTAGAGTTAACAAAGGAAAAACGGAAACCATCTGCCATGCATCTATGATATATGCCCCTATTTTATCTTATAGCTGAATACTCAGCAAAAAGTTTTACATTTATCGATTTATAGATGCGTGTTTTATGTTCGTTCAGTCGAACAGTCATCAGAATTTTGCTTTGTGAAATACTGACGATTTGGAATTCTTTGTTTAGCGACACCTTTACCTGATTTATTCCACCCATGGAAAAAAAAGGTAAGATATACAGAATGATATTTGATGTTTCCTCCATATCTGAAACTAGTCGAGTCACGTACAATGCTCCTGAAATATACTGATATTGAAAATTGTAAATCCAGGCCATGATAATTACAAATTCTATGCTCATACATAATACAGTATTGTACACTCAGAATCGCATTTTTTTTTCACATTGTAACAGTACAAAAATAAATATTTGTTTCTGGCTTGCATATAGGAGTGTCTCAAATTTGAGGTAAGTAGTTTTTTGATCGAAAACAAAAATTTTTATTAAAAATTTGGATTTTTTTGAATTCATTCATAAAGTATACGCATACTGTATGTGGCTGAGTACTGTGTATAGCATTTTGGGCTTTCGTTGTTTTGCTGGCCCATTCAACACCCTGTCAATTTTTTTTAATGGAAATTGACCATTCCACCTAAGCTAGACAATCATCTAAACCGCCTTGACTATTGACTGTTTTGTATAAATATGGCTGAAATTCGCTTACAGTATTCGATGTGGTTTGTTGCATAACGAGAAAAAGAAAAAAAAAGAAAACGTCCTACAGCGTTAAATCACGTGATCTAGGCGGCGATTATCTTTAATAAAAAGGAAAAATACCCAGGAGAAAGGAAATTCAGGGGAAGGGCTCAATTTTGCTTAACAATGAAAACCAGTTTTTTTTTTTTTTTTTGTATGTGTGTGTGGTGCTCTATTTTTAGTAATCCTGAACTATCTCCGCCCCACTTTCTTTTTTCTATCATTGGCAAAAAATTTTATTAAGCAAATGGCTCAAAATTCAAATCTTGCGTGAATTTTGAGACACCCTTCAAAACTTTTATGAATAATAAATTTATGTTTGGTTTTTAATCCTCAGTAAAATTTAGTACTGACCATGGGTTGCCAATCTATCATACAAACTGGCCTCAAAAAAAAAAAAAAAAAAAAAAAAAAAAAAGAGAAGGGGAAAAAATTGGACCACCCTGAATTACTTTTGATCTAATGATCGTATCTTCACGTTCTAAGACTATCTTAATAACTTGAAGGGATGACCATAAATGTGCTAATTAATAAGTGCAGGCGATATTTCAAGTTACGAAATAAGACACAAAAACTTTAAATTTCTCTGAATAAACAGGCCTTTTTTTCGACAGATTCGGATTTCTGACCCCCAATATATAGGGTGTAGCTGCAATCTGGGAAATGCGGATAAACTGTATACATTACAATTCAATTTTTTTTCGACCATTATTAATTAAAATAATGAAAAATAATAAATATTTACTAAAAGTATTTTTTTTACATAGAATTATCTTTGGATAAACAAATTTTATAATTGAGAGCAAAAAGTTTTCAATTTGCAAAGTTCTCGAGATAAAGCGAAAAACGTAGAAAGTAAAATTAACATTAAGGGGTCCAAACTTTGGAGTGCTCTCCTGACCAAATTATTGGGTCCATATTTCTCAATAGTTTGGCCGGAAAGTTTCCGCTCTGAACAAAATGCATTATAATTTAATAATCAGAATAAACTAAACCAGCTGTTCCCAATTTTTTTTCCAGTTATGGAACCCTATCCGATCATACTTGTTTAGGCGGAACCCTGACTTTTAAAAAAAAAAAAAAAAACGTTCATTAGCTGATATAATATAACAAAGGAAATATAAAAAAAAAAAAAAAATTAATTCAGAAACAGTTTTTTATTGTTTCATCAATTAGTCCTTTCTACGTTTTTGCCGTATAAGTTAAGTCCGGTAGTCTTTATCGAATATACGATAAAGACTACCGATAAAGCTACATTATGGTTTTTGGAAAAAAACTGTTATAAACTGGGAGATTGGTAATCAGAGGAAAATAATTCGTTAC